TCATAGTATCCTGATCATTTTTGAAAAGTTTTTTAGAGGTAAAAAAAATAGGGGAGGGTAGGGGAGTCGTGGTAGGGTATGTTTCAATTTTTTGAACTTAGTGTATTATATAACAAAAAATAGGAAAATAATGGGCAAAATCCGCATAAAGAAGGAAAGTGGATTCGAGCAGAAAATAGGATAGGTAACCCGAGCGATATGTGTTTCTGCTGCTGCTGCTGCTCGGGTTACCTATCCTATTTTCTGCTCGAGCCACTTTCCTTCTTTTTTGCGGATTTTGCCCATTATTTTCCTATTTTTTGTTATATACATTTCTCCGCATGATTATTTTCTCTCTCTCTTTCTCTCTCTCTATACAGGGTGTTTCAGAACTATGGGATCAAACTTGTAGGGGTTATTCAGTGTAACAGTAGAAAACATTTGAGTATAGAGACCCATATCCGGAAAAGTGTCACTACGGCACTACGGCCCTAAGACGCGTTAGAATCTAGAAAGACGATGAATTATTGCCTAAATAGGATTTAATTCATTTAATGTTTGCCTTTTGTTCATGATATCAACCCAACAATTGTTCAAAATGTCTTCCTCCAACCTGAATACACCGATTTAAACGTCGCACATGATTTCGGCGGACTTGACTAAAAATTTGATACTCGTTTTGAATGATTTCAAATGCTGCTATAATTCGTCCAATTAAGTCTTGCTCTGTTTCTACTGGAGTTTCGTAAATCAAAGACTTTGCACAGGAAACAATCTAGCGACGTTAAAGCGGCTGACCTACGAGGCCCAGAAACTGTTCCGCCACTGGCAATCCAACGGTGCCCAAACCGCTGAGCTAAATACTCACGTACTTGTGGTGTATTCGGGTTGGAGGAAGACATTTTGAACAATTGTTGTGATGATATCATGTACAAAAGGCAAACATTAAATGCATTAAATCATATTTAGACAACTCATCGTCTTTCGAAATTTTAACGCGTCTTAGGGCCGTAGTGTCGTATTGACACTTTTCCGGATATGGGTCCCCATACTCAAATGTTTTCTACTGTTACACTGAATAACCCCTAAAAGTTTGTTCCCTTAGTTCTGAAACACCCTGTATATATATATATACAGGGTGACTTTGAAGTTGAGTCATTAATTTTCAGATAATGATTGTAGAAGGAAGATAAACCAAAATATGTGTGTAAAAATAAAAAAAAATTAAAAAATTTTTTTTTTACCTTGTTTTATAAAGTATCCTCCCGACAAGTATTTCAGTGCGGACCTGTATTTGATCGTGAGGTCTTGGAGCACCGGCATGCAGTCCCCTGTGTGGTCTTAAGTCACCTGATTCACGAGCCCGTTGTACTACATTAACAGAGGCACGAGGGGTTGGTTGCACTCGATTGGGAAACCGATCCGCATAAACATGTGCCATTTTTTATTTCGTTTGAGCCACGCAACAGACACCAATATTCAAACGCGTTACCGATTGACACTGACTGTATACAACTGACTAAAATAATTGTAAAAACATCGTTCCAAATTCTTTCGCTTTTTTGTTTCCGATGCGATGAACCAAACACGAGCACATAATATTATTATTGAGACAGGGCGGTACTCAAACTTCCAAAGGGCTATAACTTTGTTACTTTAATTTTACCAGAAAAATGGTAAAGGAAAAAAACATTTCTTTTGATCAGATCTACTCACTGTTAAAATAAATGACTCAACTTCGAAGTCACCCTGTATATATAGCGGTTTTTAAACATAGGTTCCCCATACATTTGTGGTTAAAACTTGGAATAACAGAGAAATGTTTTCGATATGCGTCCCTTTCTGCTATCTTTGCTCAGCGTCCAGCATGACGATCTGCTTGATTATACTGCTTGTACTGCGGCTGTGCTTCAGAGGGCGCTGCCGCGTCTGACGATATGGTAAGGGATGGGCGGTAACCACTGGTAGGGCAGGGAAATAATGTCTATGGAGTGATTGTATGGGCCTGTTTGACTCACTTGATCAGTTCAATTTCTCTATTGCACAACATGTTCGTAACTAATTTTTCTCTCAGAAGGTTTAACTTGTGCTAACTTAATCCTTCATGAACTGATGTAGGTGATGAATAGGAACCTAAATGACGCCATTTGAGTCATAATAGTACTTTCATGCTGAATATTTTATAAAACATTCAGTACTCGCAATTAAAACATTTCACTTCCCACGCATATTCTTGAGGAAGTATTGTAATCGCCACAAACTTTGACTCCGCATGGATTGATGAGGTTTCGCTTTAATTTGTCTTCTAGAGTGCTCCTGAAGATGTGGAAGCCCAGTCGCACCCCAGGATTATCATTTTTCCAGCACGAGCGCACAGAGTGTCCACAGCAACAACACTTTGTGTACTCCTCACGGCTTTGGCGGTTGTTGGTATTGGAATCGTAGGAGGAAAGGTAAGAAACCTGCCAATTTTTGAATAATACTGCTCTTGACCAGCAGAGGGCTAACCGTGTAAAATGCTATTTCATACTTATTAGCACTTATCACTGACTACGTCTCTAGGTAGCTCAATGAACGGAAGCAGAGCAGATATTTAATTTCGATAGACTGGATACCTCTGATAGAATATACCTTCGCTTTGCTTTCGTTCGTGCGTGACCAGACAGTGCTGACAATTGCCAAATACCATACATGTTCAACTTTCAATCACATTTTTTTGCATATTCACAATGACAATTACTATTGCGGTTTAAATAATATTTGGAAGCAAAGTTTCTGAAAGCTATCACTAATAAGAAATCATAATACAAAGCCTCCATATCGAAAAATATTGTTTTGAAAAGAACGTCCCTCAATAAATTTTCTTTGTAAGCAGAGATTTCCTCGAGGCAATGATCTAAGCTTACTGTTTGTAGTCTCTAAATGCTTTTAAAATCTCCTCGACCAGTTCATGCCTTTCAACTAAACAGGCTGAATGACTGAAACATTTTTAAACTGTCATTGGTGTTTTATAGAATTAGAAATTTAATTATTGGTAAGTGGATTTTTCGTCGAGGCCATGGTCTTTTAAGCTTATTGTTCTAATTTCTATCTGGTAGTAAAATGTTGTTGATCATTTTTATGTCCGTTTTGAGTGAAGCATCTTCATGTCACGGATGTTTTGTAGTAAGGCATATTTTTATTATATTATTTTAATAAAACCTACACTTTATAGTTTTTTCCGTTCAGTTAGATGTGCTACGCTGATGCTTTATATTTTTAAATCTGCATAAGATTCTCAATTTTCATCAGAAGTTCAATAGAAGTCAACCGATAAGTAATGAAAATATACTAATTGTTTCTTAAAGGTCCTCTATAATGAGTACCTGAGCGTCTCGAGACAGATGCAGGCTAGAGAAGATTGGCCTCAGCCTGCTAAATATGAGGGAGTTGCGATACCAATGTAAGTATTAATATTATTTGAGGGTTAAGAAACTCTCCCTCCTTAAGGCGGGAACCTTGATCTCACAAGAAATGATTGAAATATCTATTTACCATTTTTTTTTTCAATAGGCGGTGCTGACTAATTTAGTTTTAAATTATTCCATCATTAGCTGTTAATAAACAAATCTTAAACGTTTGGATTATGGATTTAGAATTCATGCATTCCGCGAAACGAACTAGCGGGCCCCTTTTTGCGATTGAAACAGCAAGGACTATAAAACTAATTCATTCCTCACAATTGAAGCATACAAATATATGTCAGATTGGATAATATCTATGCATTAGAATATAGCTCTTGCTATATACAGGGTGGCCCATCCATGCGTGGACGGAATATGACTAATAAACAAATACATTTTGGGAAAATCTATTTATGCCATGTTATACAGGACATTTGAAGGTACATTTCTAAAATATTGGCAATTATTTTTTAAATGGAATGCCTCAAATTTTATTGCATATTTGGATAAACCAATTCAGAATAAGATAATCGTGTGCGTAACTATTTGGACACCTGTAGATTGGGTCTTGAGTAGTGATAGTTGTTTGTTTATGTTGTTGTTATAGTTGTTTGTCTATATTACGCTTGAAGCTGATTTATACTGTTCTGATTGTTATTAGTTTTTACGTCAAATCTGTACTCGTGGCAATATGGAACTAGCCTACTGTTTGTCTTTTGTTTCCAAGGATGATGTGATTTTTTTCCTTAATTTTGGTGTGTTGTTCTATTAAAAGCTTAATAACTCAAAATCTAGTGATTTTATCTGAATCAAACCTTATAACAAAAAAAAGCTTATAAAAAATTGAATTCAAACTTGCACAAATTTGAAATTTTTGAGAAAAAGTATAATTCGCGTTTTTGACCACCCTGTATGAGCAAAAATAGAAATTCGAAAAAGTAACAAACAAGATAAAAGCTGAGGTGTGTAAGTTTTTTTTGATAAAAATTCAGCACTCCAAATTTCAAAATGGCGGATTGAGGGGTTGCTGAAGTGGACGGTTTTCCTGGACAAAACTCCTTAACAACTCAGTAGCTAATTACCAAAACCCCAAAGTATGTTTTATCAATCTTCTTATTTTGAATTGGTTTATCCAAATATGCCATAAAATTTAAGGCATTCCACTTAAAAAATCAGAACTTTGATATGTAGGTCAAAATTGGACACTCTGTATAATTGCCAATATTTTACGGTACCTAATTCTAACTTCAAGATGTTTTTCCTCTCATTCATCTGCACCGAAGCAATAAAAAATCCGGGAACATTATTCGTACCATCGTGGCATATGATAAAAAAAGCAAAATTGAAATTTGTGTTGGGAGCCAAATTGCAGGGATTTTCAAGCTATAATATGCATTTTTTGAGAAAAAAATGCTTTAATATTCACATATAGGAGTATCTTGCACGTATGTGTCAGGAATACTTTTAAGTTGAGACCGTGCTAGATTATTTTTTAAATACCTTGTTCGTTTTACCATTATGTATATTTTGTTTTTTTATTTTTCTTTTTGTTATGTTTCCTTTGTTTTTCCTCATTACAGGAAGTATGAAGCCAACATTGACATAATTAATCCAGATACTGAGCTTGGGTAAGGATCTTTTTTAAGCTTACCTTTGACCAAAAGTCTGTAATTGCAATTATTTAAACTTGAATTATATTTTTCGTTCAATATCTTCTGATTATTATTGATGCTAGCGGATACAAAATGAACCATCCAACATGAATACAAAGGAAGCTACAGATACATGATTTCTTGTGCCCGAACCAATAGCAATAAGTCATATATTATTTGAAAGGTATTTTCAGCTAAAATAAAATGAGTTATTCATATTTTTTCAATCCATTTTCCGATTGGAGCATTGCTACCTTGAAGGCTAATGCTTTTTAGTATATTGTATATGTGTTTCTATATCATTGCTTAATACTTTTTTGTATTCGGTTATTTCCTACAAGGAATTTATGTCTATCATAAACTATCAGATACAGTCATCCAAACAAACTAATGATATGTTGCCTAACTGCTGATCTGCTGTACTATAAATCGTCGTGACTGACTACCAGAAACTCGCGATTTAGCTCTATCTGATAATTTCATGGCCTACCCTGTTTTTCTGGAATAACATAAGTTTGGCAAAGTCATTGTATGACATACACATTTTTGAAGTCAGAATTAAAAACTCTTCATCTGAGCAAAAATCCTATTTAGCGTCCATTAGAAAAAATAAAGTTGATGGTGAAGCCGTCATATTGAAATGAAAAAAGTAGCAACGTTGACGTGCAATCTATTTTAAAATCCCACCAAAAATAAAGTTAGGAATTTTTTTTGGGAAAATGTTTTTTCGGCCTCTCCCCGAAAGTACTTTGAATTTTTTGAATCGGCGTTTCGTTATTTACGCAAGTTTGCATGAAAATAGCTTTTTTATTTCTTTGTCTAAAAGTAACCTACAGGTATATACGCAAAAAGTGTGTTGCGGATGTACTGATAAATGTGAGTTCCAAATTCATGAAAGATCATGGGCGTTCTTGGAAAATGTCCAAAATGTCCGAGTAATAATTTAATTTTGCCAATCCTTCCTTTGCATTGCATATATCGCAAAACGGATAGTGTAGTCACAATTTTCACATTAATAATTCTAACTACCTGGACTAATTCTTCTTGCTAGTTGGTCTGGGTATCAGAATGCTCATGCTCCTCTCATGTATGGATGCAAACTGATAATTGTCTGCTGTCATAAATCCAGTTAGTTGTCTACGCTTTGCTTTTTTTTGTCATGGAAGTTGCATGCGTAGCACAAAAAGATTTGCCAGAAGAAACAATTTGGACTAATGTCTAAATCTACTTCTCACGTTATTCGAATACATATAATGGGTACTTCATGGATTTTTACGATGTCGTAATGTTTGCACGCTCATGCTATTTATTGTTTACAGGAATATGGACGATGACGATGTCTTCGAAAAAATGATCAATAAGCTCATCAATAACAAGAGAGGAGAGTTCTTTCAAGAGAATTTCGAAATTGACGATGACAGGAAGTACGAAAAGATCGACGTGCCAGATTTCAGAGATGGCCGTAGCGGCAGGTTCATTCACGATTTCAACACCAACATCACCGGTATCATTGATGTCTCAGGACGCAGGTGAGCGTAAATTGTTTTTGGACATTTAGGCTCCCCTGATTAAACACTTCCCTGATTTACGTGCCCTAATCAAAATGCGGAATACAAAGGGTACTATAAAAGTTTTGCAATGTGACTTAACAAACGGACGCAGGAGGCTACATGTTGAGACATGTTTACAAATGCATAGTAGCCGCCAGCAGCACGTCTGTTGATTTAATTGTTCATTCGTATTGACAATGTAAATTACGGATTATGGCATCGTGGTTACGTAGTGAGATAAGGGCAGTGCTTAGAAGAAATTAAGAAATTAAAGAATGATTGCCCTCATCGTGGGACTATATTCAGGTGGTACAGAAAATTTTTGTCCCACCACCACAAAATATTTGCTGTTTTCCTGGTCTTTAGAATAAATTCTTCCTGCATTATCAAAATATGTGTAGAAATTAAGCCTCATTTCCTCGGAATCAGAGTGTTTTAGATTCATAGTTTTGTTTTTGGATGCTCAACAAATCGCTAAACCACAGCAACGGATCATCTTGATTTCGAAATAAAAGTTACGTGCATGTTCGCGATACTGCTTTCATTTCATGGCTTAAATGAAAATGTTGACTTTTGTAATTCTTTAAATTTAGATTTCTGGCAAACGCATAGTATGAAGCTTGCGAATTTCTCCTTGCTTCGTTGCTGGTTTAACTTTTCTACTTTTTAGCACTTCATCAAATCTTGCCTTTTTATGTGTCACGTAACTTGTCTCAAAACCACTGCGAGACACGGTGTTCTGACTTGGCTCAAATATGAAGTATATATCTAAAGCACATTGTCATAAAAATAGCTGCTTTCGCTCAAACGAGAGTAAATTTAGTTATACCGTGGCGGGATCACACTAACTAAATAATTGTCGGCTCATTGCGCTGGATCCCTTAACTGCTTGCGTTGAGCTCAGTTGAGACAAATTTGGTTAAAAGATTCGACTGGGTATTCGGATGTCACTGCGAATGTGACTTAAGTTCTTATTATAACATGGTATGATGGTAAGACTTTTGTAGGGTTTAGTCGTACTATAAAGCTTAATTATTAGTGAATGTGTTCGAAGTAGACTTTTCTATAATTCAGATCTTTGATCAATTTTAGACATTAATTGCGGTAATGTCAAGACACTTTCTGTTACCGAACTCGAGAACATTAAAACGAGGTTCTATTTGCACTTTTTAAAACGTTGCTCAACGTCTTGTTTTTGTTCGATATTATCTTTTGAGGTGATTTACTATTAGATTCATCAAGAACATCTTCGAAAACTAAGGTATCCAAATTCTCTATCATAAAGAGACAGACAGACCGACAGAAATAAGTGAAATTTTTTGTGATCTACGAGCCCCTTCCCACTTCAGTTGGCCCACTTTGTACTTTTGTACCAAAATATGCCTTTATAAACTAAACATGACGAAACTATTTACTTCTAAAACAATTTATTTTCTCAAAAACATGTCGTAAAAAATACATATTTGAGATCACTTAGACCTATAACTAATAGAACATCTGGACAAATAAAGAATGTGCGAATAAATGCGCGACGTTAACAAAGCAACAATTGAAAGATTACCATTGGGTAACATCACCTTTATTTTTTATTACGGCTGAAATTCTTTGGTGCATAGTGTTAACCAAATTTTGGCAAAAATTTGGCGTAAAAATATCCCATATTTCTTGAAGCTTTTGTCTCAGTTCGGTGATTCTACGAGCAGGATGTTGTCGTAGAACCGTTTTCATTTCGTGCCACAAAGTTTCAATAGGTGACCGATCTGGACTGCTAGAAACCCATTTAAAAAGAGGTACATTATTTTCTTCCATCCATCTTGCTGAAACACAAAATCTTGGCCGGATGTTAAACATTCTTCCATCACTGGTAAAAGCGATTCTTCTAAAATTGCCAAATATTTCTTTGTATCCACATTTCCATCAATAAAATGAAGTTTACCTACTCCTTTTGATGACATACTGCACCAGACCATAATGGATGCTGGGAATTTCACTTTTCTCTTCAGACAGTCAACATGGAATGCTTCATTTTTTGCGAATAACTCTACTGCGACTGTCACCAACACAAACTTCGAATCGGGCCTCATCACTCCATTTTATTGCTCACCATTGTTGAGGTGTCCATTGTCTTATGTTCTTTAGCCCATCTAAGCTGATTTTTCTTTTGCACTGGAGTTAATAGTGGTTTTTCTTTGGCCTATAAACAAGTTGTGCAAGTGTACGGTTTTTACTTCACTTTTTTTTATAAGAAAACTTACCTTGCAAGTGCTAAATCCCAGTTTGTGGGCCTCTCTATGAGTTGTGGACCTCGAAATTCTCCTTCCAACAGCGTCACTCCACAGAGCACTTAATTGTAAATAATTGGCACGCCTGTTTTTCACGATTATTCTTCTTAACGCTCTTCGGTCGGCATTTCTGATATTACTTTTTTTCACATATCGTGGCTTAATATTAACTGAACCATTTTGAAAATACCCATTTTGAAAACCTTAACTACCCAAAACTATTTTAAACGTATTCTGACAGCTGTGATTAATAAAAACAATTGTCATGGCTTTTATTTTTCACAGCCACCTATGCGTTATAGACTTATTTTGCATTGAAAAGAAAATAGGTTGATATGCTGTAATTGCAACATGTGATATTTTTATGCTGCAAATTTGATTAGAGAGTGATAAAGTTGGTGTTTTCTACTATATATTATCAAAATATTCATTGTTAATATTTTGAACTTATAACACCCTGCTACATTTTTATTATTTGTGTTTGATAAGAAAAAAACTATGATTTCAATAGTTGGGCCAACTGAAGTGGGTAGGGGCTCGTACATGTCATTACAGTACCTCATTTTCGGAATTTTTATTTATCGTCAGTTGGTGCGGGAAGTAAAATCACTAAGCGCTGGAGTGGCGATTGTAAACACGAACGGGGATTAATGCACTCGTTTTGCATGTTTTTTGAAGAGTATTTTGATATCTGAAAAACTAGAAACCATATCTGTAGCTAATCCTTTCCATACAAACAGGTGCTTCGTGATGCCTCTCAACCGCGACAATACCCTGCCACCAAAATCCTTGTTCGATCTGATCCATAAGATGTGGGAGGGGTACTACAAGGTGGACACCGAGGTAGTTAGAAAATCGATGAAGGTGGTGTTGCCGCCCATCAGCGACAGCAAGACTATCGGCAACTACATCGCCAATGAGTGCAGCGGTATGCCCATCTACAAGCTGGAAAAATTCGTTGGTGGAGGTGAGTTGATCTGAGTTACCCACTGACGATATATCTATAAACACAGCCATTCATTCATGATTATACATTTGTATATTTTCCAACATTTATTGGTGGCCGACTGGAGTTCCTAACTTGCTAATTTTTCAAATTTACTTACCGATGAAAAACCTTTTGCTCCAGTCTTCTGACTGTATATCTTGTTTTGACACTTAAGGAATTCATTGCGGTGTCAACTTTTCACCACATTTTGACATAGAAGTAATGATTTGTTGAAAAAACACCAGAAAAAACGGTGAAACTATGATATGTGCTTTAGTTTGTTAGGGTAACTAACTGTTATATTTGTTTTTCAGTTGTGAAAAGGTCAGCTGATCTTCACTCCGAGGCCAAGTTTGCTCAATTTGCTGGGAAGGGTATCACAGAGTTTGATATCATGAACTTTGATGATGTTCTAGCGTATGAGAAGCAGAACAGTCATTAGAATATTACAATCTTAGAGTAAATATATATCATATAATATAGTTGAGCCTTTCGATGAATCGTTTCTATATGCTTTATTCCCAAATTGTTATGGTGTTTTCCCTTATAAACTATACCTTTCTGAATATATATACATATAGTAGACGTATGATAGTCACTACTCATATTAATTGAAATAGTGTATTAAATGTAATTGAAAATCGTGTAATTGCATGTAAGAGCCCTGTACTTTTTTTAAATATATAGAAATTTTTTGGTTTCATCTGTTGTTTTCTTGTCCTTCTGCATTGACCAATGTTGGTAAGTTGCTCTATCAAACGTCTTTACTTTGACTGATCATTTTGAAAAAAAAAACAAATTATCTCTATCTTTTATAACAACAAGCAGTAAGTTTAAGTTAATCACTGGGTCAGATTGGAACAAATCAATTTTCAGTCTATCTTGCTTCAGAGACGTTTATTTGGAATCAGAGCTTTAACTTCGCCTCCACTCCAAAATATCCCCCAAATTTATTTGCTGCCTTTATCGCTCTCCTTGGACTATAACTGGGATGACCTACTTGAATACCTCACTGTAAAGATTGACTTCCTGAAAATCAATCACTCCGCTTCAGAGGTAGTTCTGAGGCACACAAAACCTTTTCCCAAAACCCCATAGTGGACAGCTGACAAGTCGACTTGGAGTCCAGAAACAAATATAACGTAGTGGTCCGCAATGCCAAAAACTAGAACGATATAAAAGTTAGGCTCAGGATAATGTCGCAGTACAATGGCAGTCGGTATTTCTGGACGCTGTCTAAGCAGATTGAAAGGACTTTCTCACAACGTAGCTTTCCATCATTGTGTGTCAGGATGCAACAATTGTCACTCCAAGGCGAAGCCGGAAGTGCTTGCCAAGTTCCTTGCTGCCAACTCTACCATGGGCGGTTGATTCAAAGGGTTCCCTACACTATGCGGGAAGTAACCTTAAGGCATAAGACCGTGAGACGGGTGCGCTTCTCGCTCGACATCAACAAAGCTTCGACTTGATTCCTGCCGTTGTATGAAGAGGTGTGCAGCGGAACTTGCTCCAGTTCTCTCGCGAATCCACCACCTTCCCAGAAAACTGAAAATCTGATCACGTCCAATCCATCCCAAAAACGGGATCTAATACCTACCTTTACAGCTACAGGCCTGTAGCTCTGCTTTCTGTTTATAAGTAAGGCGCTGGAAAGGTGATAAATCGCGAGCTTCTGGACTACCTCGAACGTCACCGCTCGATAAGTGACAGGCAGTATGGTGGCACCAGCGATCCACAGGGGATCTCCCAGCTTACGTCGCGCAATAGTGCAGTAAACTCATCCAGTCTTATGGTGAGGCTCATGTCGTTGCTCCTGATATCATGAAAGCGTTCGATCAGCTGTGGCACGCTACCTTCTTGTGCAAATTTCTATCCTATGGCCTCCCAGAGAAGCTTTGGCCGCAAGATATCCGTCGTAATTGACGGGTTCTCCTCCTCATCCCACAAGGTCAACGCGGGTGTTCCCCTGGGATCGGTCTTGGCCCAGATATTGTTTCTCTTAGATATCAACGATCCAAAAAAAGAAGACTAGCAACGATTTCTTCTATGACGAGAGACCAGAAGGTTATCACTGCTTGGGGACGCATCAATCTTGTGCAGTTTAATGCCTCTAAAACAGCTGCATGGCTGGTCGGAGTCCAGATCACCGAGGACTTGATCTGGCATGAACATATCTCGTCAGTAGCAGCAGCTTTTGGGTGTTATGAAAAACGAGAAGAAAACCAGCTTGAAATCTAATTTAGCCAATCCAACAATTTCTGTAGAAAGGGGATAGCATTGCCCTCTTTTAAAAGTTAAGATGTTAACTTGTTCTCTCAGGAGCTTGTCCACTTATCTACATGAATTTTTGGAGTGAACATTAAATGTTTTCAATTTTTCATATTATTTACCTTGCTTCTATGAGAGACTACCACACATTTTCTCCTGCTACCTATTTATTTATCAGGATAATGACCCGAGGAGGCGGAATAGAATCACGCGTACTTTTTATTACCTGTTCTAAGCGCTTGTCCTCAACAACGGATTTCAAAGAAGGTTGTATACAGAGTGCTTTTCAAACCCACTCAGCCCATTTTTTGAACGGAACAAGGTAGAATGCTGAATTTTGATATGATCAAATTGATGCATGAATACAAAATTTTACGGTGAAAGTGGCAGGTGATAAGCCACCATCTTGGAATATTTTTTCAAACTGCATGCTGGGTCATGGATACCTCATTTTGAAGATCCTTGTTGGTACTTTATGACACCATTTACTGATTCCCAAAATGGCGGACTGGCGGGCTGCCAAAGTTGAGCGTCTTTGTATATTGAAGCCAATACCGTATTTCATATCACTGCGTCGTTTGGACAGGTCCAACTGAATGTGCAATAATTGGGACATTCCGCCAAAAAATGATAGATATTTATATTTGGTCTGAAACGAGATATTTCAAAATTGTATATCTGGAAGGGTCCTTCCAAGAGCAGGAAGACTGACATGATATAATGCCTTGACTATTGGTTGTTGAGCAATGAGCTATTCAATGTGCAAAAATGGTAACGTTTACAACCCGTTTCTTAGTCCGCCACTTTAGAAAATATAGTTTCATATTCCATTCTCATAAGGCACTTATACAAATTTTGATTTTCTTATTTATTTAGTTATATGATGCCGTTCTCTCAGCAGCTAATTCATGCTGAAATGTTTGGAGCTTGCCTAGTAGTATTGTGTAGTATTGTGTTTGATAGCTAGAAACAGGAATTTATTTGCCTCTATTCTTAATGTGAAATCACTGTTTTTGTTTTCGCTTCTATATTTAGCGACATATTATAGGTAGGTCAGTGTGTAAACGTATGCAATACTTTTAACATTCGTATTTTAGCGGTTGCCTAACATTTTATCTAACACAAACTGGGGAACTCATTTGAATCGCTGGATTAAAATTGTAAATAAATCGTAGGAATATCATCAGTCCATGCTTTAGTTGCTTAGCTTTCGGCTGTTTTCGGCGATGCTCACATTTGTAATACTGAAGCGTTAGAATAACCCCTGCAAGACACTAATGAATCGAAAGACTGGATTTAGATTTTTAATAAGAATAATGGAAAGGTGGAAAAACACCGCTAGGAGTTTTGGTGAGGTAAGTAACTTAAAATAAGATGTGGAGAGTGGTTAAAATCAAATTATTTTAGGTCTCCAACTTTAGGGATACATCCATCGAGGAGATGGAATCCGCCTTAGCTAAATACAAAGGTGGCGAGGTGATGTTATCTAAAGAATACTGGAATGAGGGTATTGCTGTTATCTACCTTAACCACCCTGAAAAGAAGAATGCTATGAGTGGTGAGACTTTCATTCATTATTTGAATACAATACCTATTTCATTTAAAATTTCACGTTTCGCTAATCGAATTATCAGGAATACAAGTGACGTAGACGTTAGTTTGTTGTATTATGTATTGGTAGTGACGTCACTGAGTCACTGACGTCTCAATCGTACACACGTGGTTCACACTGTCATTGAGTGGGAAGTGGGAGGTAGAGGTAGAAAGCGGCCAGTAGCGTAACCATGATAATTGCTTGGGGTGTCAATGTTATACGCATTCGTCATTGTCCGTCAGAGCGGTCCGTGGGACCTTTACTCTTGGTTAATGTATTGGGAGTCAGCAGGTCTGTCAGGTCTGGTTGTCCAGATACCAGACAAAATCAGGGAAAATACAAAGCCAGGAGCAATATACAGCTTTCACTTTCTACATCCATAGGCGAAGGATGAGTTCTATACAAAAAATACTAGATAACCTTGGAAATTGTCGTCGAAAACTATCGCGACCGAACTATTTCAAGATTCAAGCAAAACATTTATTGCGGCTGCCACTTTATTCCATTTTGGTGCGCATCAGATGTAACTGGAGCTTTCAAAGTGATACTAACGTGTTTTTTAAAAGTTTTGCCACAAAATTCGTTGGCTTTCATTTTAACAAACACAAAATAATATCAAGTTGCCTTTGGAAACAAAAGTTTGCTTACTTAGTTTACTGTCAGTAGTTGACATTTATTTATTTTGATGTTTTCGTTTTAAGATGTCGTATAAGCTAGAAATAAGAAAATTATCTTCAAGTTAGTTGCGCGGGTACCCAAAGCTGAAATCTGTCGAATACTCCAGAATGAAAGCATTTCACGAATAACAATTTATCGAACAACAGCGGAGTGCGAGCAGGAAATACTGTGTCCGAATCTCCTAAAAAGTGAAAGACTACGTGCATTTGCTGCACAAAGGTCAGAGAGCAAAAAATCAACATGAAAAAAATCATCATTTTAAATGACGAAGAGTATTTGACTTTGAGTAATTCTGAAATAAAGAGAAACGACGGATTTTATACGGACAACGTAGAGGAATGCCCTGACAATGCTAGATGCATACATGAAGCGAAATTTGCAGATAAAATCCTTGTCTGGGGCGCAATTTCTAACAGGGGTGTATCCCAACCTTTCGTGGCAAGAGTGAAGGGTGAAGCTTTGAATAGTCAGAGCAATATTGATAACTGCCTTTTCAAATTGGTTCAGTTTGTCCACGAACTTCATGCTAATGACCATATCATGTTTTGGCCAGACATAGCATCATGCCATTACTCTAGAGATCTCCAAAACTGACTTCAATAACACAAAAAAAGATAATCCTCCAAACTTGCCGCAGGCTGGGCCAATAGAGGCTTTTTGGGCCTCACTGTTTAGGAAGGTTTATCATGGAGGCTGGGAAGGCCAAGTTGAAGAACAATTAAGACGGCGAATTTACGAAAAACTGAGAGAAATTTATCTGAATTTCGTCCAGGCTCTCATGAGAGACATGCGAAGGAAGTTGCGCCTGGTAGAGCGGAATGGGCCACTCCACATAATTCGATAGTATGATTTAGTTAAGTATATACTCAATTGAAATGATAGTATGATAATCAGTCAGTGTTTAAATAGATTTCTTCATTCAAAAAGTTAAAAAAAGAAAATACAATTTGTTCTGATTATAATGGCATGGGATTGAGAATTTTGTCCCTTTATGTAATGTTTAAATAAGTCGAATAATTGAATTGTTACATAATCGAGTAAAAGCTGACTTTTGCTGACTTTAAACGGTGACATTCAATGAAAGGTCGTTCTCCAAATTACTGTATAGAACATCACTGCGTTAAATAAATTTCATAATAATTTATCAGGCTGTAATTTGCTTATGTGAAACAATTTTTGATAAGGCGATTATAATTATCGAATACAATAGAGTAGAGGAAAAAGATAATTGTCACTGATCCGCCGTTTCAAATGTTTATACAGTTTACCTATGACGTCGGAATATCTGATGTGTACTTACTTATTATTTCTTATCAATTCTGAAACGTATGCTGACGAGTGTATATCAATAAGTTCTGTTGATGTCTGTTAATACAGGGGGGTTTCCAAAATATTCGGCGAACGTTCAAAGGAGGATTTTTACTGCTACCGTTTCTTAAATTGTTTTGAAAAGCATTTTATAGTTCAGGCAAATTTTGTCAACATAGTAACAAGTTGAGGTCTCATATTGAAAATAACAACGTTAACCAATCTGACTTATAACTGGGGTTTTCTCATTTCAATGATTATGGATGGATGGATGGATGGAGTTTCAAAATTTTTCTGAACAGGTGCAAAGTTCAATCATGCCATTCTGCGGACCTTGATAAAAGTGGTAGATTAATTTGAGCACAAAGAACTTAGGTGCATCTCATTTATTTTCTCAAATGCACTAGATAATAGATTCAATCAAAGCGATTCGTTACTAGTCAAGAGTATAAATTTCAAAAAATGAGAAGAGCACAAAAACAAACTACAGTATTTTTAAAATATTTCGATCCATTCAACTTTTTTGAGCTGCTTCAAACGGTATGTGGATGACTATCATAGACAAACAAGATTTTTTTAGACTATTGTACTATCCAAGGACTCTGCAACTTAAAAAAAAACATGTATTCAGTATGTTCGGATTCTACAAAATATTGTTTAACCGCCCTTCAAAAGAAAACATTTTTATTGCTGTCATGACATCAATAACTAGAAAATCATGATTTTCTAGTTATTGATGGACTATCAGCTAAACGATTGGTTCTAATTGTGGAATTTTGTGTGAACATGCTCAAGAAGGGATACTGGAATAATACTCCGTGACGGTATAATATTTTTACATCAATTAATTTCAGGTAAAATGATTGTGGACCTGAGAAAATGCGTGGCTGAATTAGAATCGTTCAAGGACGGAAAGGCAGTTATATTAACATCGAAAGGAGATAACTTTTGCTCTGGAGGTGACCTCGACTTTGTAAGAGCATCTGGAACTCCTCAGGGCGGTTTCTTTATGAGCACCATCATGCATAACACGCTGAAGAGGTTCAGGAACTTGCCTCTTACGAGTGTCAGCCTTGTTCACGGGCCCACGCTGGGTGGAGGAGCAGAATTGTCGGTATATTCTGACTTCTTGTTGGCTGCGGACAATGTGAAACTTGGTTTTGTTCACGGTAAAATGGGAATAATGACTCCTTGGGGTGGTACAACTAGGTAAATGCCTAATCCCTTATGCGTTCACACGAGAAATATACCTATTCATTAGCTCGACGATATTGGGTGAAATGAATAAATAAGTAGATACTCTAGATACTTCCATGTACTACATGCAAGTTTCTTTAAATTGGAATGAATAGAAGTATCAGATACTCGGTTAGTTACTAATATACAGCCAAGTCTATCCATGATGAGCAAAAGATGCCATTTAATTAGCTATAATACTTGCCCCGAAATACCGAAACGAATCATAAAATAATGTGAGCTCACTGCTCATAGACCAATGCACATTATGAGGTTCACAAAATTTCCTCTCCATGATACTGAATTAAAATTATGAAGTACCAACATTTCTTATCCACGATTATGATCTAAGGGCGACTCAAAATGTTTAGCTAAACACTATTCTAAGAATGTTTTGCACGTGCCCAACAATTGTCGGCAATTCAGAAACATAAGCATAGCCTGGAGACGTTTTCTTGAATTCTATGATTGATGCCCAATGAATAGATTTACTAAAAATATCGTCAAAATCGGTAAAGCTCCATGACAAAGAAGCTACAAGCGCCCAGAAGATCATTCATGCATCATGGTAAGGATTCCGATGCCATTACTGATTTGGCATACAATTGATTAAGGAAACCGGCCATTTTATTGAAATGTGAAAGTTCCGAGTTTGACGAATTTTGTGAAAGGATGAGTATTCTCTATGAGAATCACTTGAAGCATGAGTATATACTGCCAATTATTCACTTTACGAACTTGATTTCAACCGCTGTCTTAGTATCCGTCATGAGAGAGAAACGTCCACAAACCCAGAAGTTTGTTAGACGGCCTGAATTTCTGAACCCAAAAATAGACGTTAAAATAATCCCCTTATTTCAAAAACTTCTATGAAATAGATAAATACTTGGGACATACGAGCATTAATGGTGGAGGGATAAGCTTGTCTCTGTGAAATAAGGCAAATTTTCAAGATGCAAATCTCCACTGGCACCGCGTAAAAAAGTGGTTTTGCGTATGTTGTCACTGAGCACTGGATCATTGGAAACGAAAAAATCACAATAGGCTCATTAGGTGAGAGGTTTCTTGGGGTAACCACAACAAGTTTTTATTAGTTTTCCAATTATTTCTATTTTTTTAGCTCCCAGACGCCAAAAATAAGATTTAACGTTCGGGTGTGTCGGTTCTTGATTGGTCAAAAATTTCGTAACCTTGTCCTAGCAGGTCTCCGTTCCGTTGTTCCCGACAAAATCTAGGGTCGCAGATTGGCTTGCTTTCAAGCTAAGGACCCAAATTTGTCCCGATTTCACGCGGAAATAGGCAGGCCAGTGAGTAAGCGACCCCGCAGGGGTATTATTTAAAAAACATAAAAAAACGACGGAATGCATTCTTGCAGACTAGGTAGTTTTTAGTGTGCAAATAGTTCATTCCACTTCAATAAAAACTATTTCTCTTAAAAGCTTCCTTTTGCTTGACAACATGGATAAATTAACCAATCGTACGTACTTGGTTTTTTGTAGAAAGAAGGTAATTTTGTATAAGCTTCAGATTAGAAAAACTTCTATATGTGGTGCTATTGAGACGCAAATAGTCAAAAAGTATTGTAGTTTGTAGTATCAGTGAAACACAGGGCAATGATCTACGAATGTCCACAGGTACGTAGGAAACCCCAGTGCAGTGTACACACGGTTGCCTATTTGAACGTTTGATGTTTCTGGAACGTGTGTAACAGCAACTAAAGTTCCATCTTCGTTACCCAAAAATTCCATTTTCTTCACTTGTACCTTTTTCTCTATTCCGCATTGGTCATCTGAGAACACTACGATCCTAGAACCTTCGGAAGCTTGTATTATGTTAAAGAAACTACTTTGATCACTTCCTTCACACTTAATATACAACGTCTTGCTTTTTACAACCCAATTTAACACAGACTATCAAAATCTTCCATTTTCTCTTAATATACCATCAAAAGTTTATAGTCTACATTCACAAATTGACGAACACGAAGAAAATCAGAATAAAGCTTTTGGACGATGTATTCCATCCAATCTTTTTTCCAGTAGAGCAAAGCTTAAAAACCTAGTTTACCTAAAATTTGTAGGTTCTGGTGGAAAAGTCAGATATTCTCCGTTGCCAGTGCAAATTGCTTAATAAGGCGAAAGTGAACTTAGCACGCATCATGGATCTAGAATAGAGTTTTCCTTCGAAGTACATATAAATATTCTCTATTTTTCTGTGATTAGAGATTACCAAGAATTTCAAAAAAAAAAAATAACAGAAAACTCAGTAACAACAACCAGTAATAATGATTAATCATGATCATCAGAAACGATCGCACCTTAATTTGATTAACGGTTCGTTGCCTAGACGCATTAATGGGTGAATTGTGTAAGCTGGTACGTAGATGCAAGTTCGAGTCAGATTGGCGCAAATAGCCTTTCAAGATGCGTACGCGGTGATTTCTTATACTTAAATAATATTCAAAAACAAGAGATTTATCTTTTGTTTATATTATTTTATTAAGTATTTATAAAAATACTTTATTTAATAATTATAAAATGGATCTGTCCCCACTTAGCCCGCCACATAATTTTTTAGCAAATAAAGTACACTTTTAAGGAAAATCACCACTGATACTTAGAGGATTTTTTTGTCTAAATCTAATACATTTTTAATCAAACAAAATAAAGGTATTTATGTTTTATCATAATACAGATGCAGCAGTAATATAACAAAAGATTTTAAAAAAAATATGTACGTAAATATTTAAAAGTTAATTCTCCTTTGGCGTGCTAGCTTGACCATTCGGATCTTTATTTTGGTACCAGTCGTCTTTTGGGAACTAGGAATTGCATTTAAAATTTGTGGTTTACCGTTTAGAAAATGAAACATTTCAATGCAAGTACCATTAAAGTTTGTGTAGACTTACAGAACAACCTCTCAATTGACGCACTGGTCCCAGGCAGACGAAAAACAAACTCACATAAAATTTTTACATTTTTCAATGCATTTTTTGTTTGGAAAACTTCAAGCCATCGATCTTCAGTGGAAATATTTCTTAAATTCCAGTCAGCAATTTTGTTTTCTGTAACGTTCGTTTGTATTAGACTAACTTCACCCAACCGTTCGTCCTGATTCAATACTGGACCTATGTAGTCCTTAAAAGCCTCACACGAAGATAAAATATCTGACCAAGAAAGGTTCACTCCAATTTTTCAAGTAAGCTGAACAATTCAAATAGTATTGCTTGACATGCGTCCGCATAGGTTATTTACACTGCTGACTTCCACATTTTCAAGTTTTAAAAGTGACTCACTTTAAGCGGTAAAAATAGTTCATTTAAGCGATATGATTTATGAGTTCGAAATATATACTCCAAAGCGACTTCTGTTGCGCATATTTTATCACCATCATTTTTTTTATTAAAAAAGTACTTTCAGGTATATGTGATAAAGTTTCAAAGGACTGTAGTACAGAGTTCGAAAAGAAAGTACTGTCCCACTAAAAAAAGTACATATGGTCACCCTATTTATGACTAAAAATATATCCCATGCAATTATCCATTCAATATCTATCTACTAATTCTGGTTTAACTACACATATTCATTTAAGAGGAATTTTTAATAGCTGTTTTGACCAATACGAGTACATTCTTACAAATTAAGATAGTGTATAGTTGCTTATTTTAGGTTACGCCAGCTTCTCGGTGAAAGAAAAGCCCTGGAACTTCTCCTAGGATCGAAGGTGTATTCAGCCGAGGAATGTTTACAATTTGGATTAGTATCCAAAGTTGTAAATACCACCAACCGGTTGGATGAAGCTTTGGATTATGTTAGACAGCTTACAATCCACCACCCTTCAATTGTTAGAGCTTATAAAACAGTAACATCTCATTACGACGAGGAACAATTTGAGAAGTCGCTGGTGCTAGAAAGAGAACTGTTTCATCCAATGTGGGGTTCAGAATTGAACACAGCGGCTTTGAATAAGAATATCAAGCACCTTGAACAGAAAAAATGACTGTGATTTGTATCATTTATTATTTGTTGGTCGTATGACTGAGACATAAGCTTCATAAGTCTAAAGCACCACATGAGAAAAGGCTACATTTCATCCTAAGTATTAGACAATATAGATTTTTAAATACTTCCATGGTTCAAATAGTAGCAGCTCCATCAATAGTATAGCAGCAACTTATCTACGGCTACTGAACATTGCAAATGTCTTTTTGGTAATTGCCCATTTCAGACCTTAATTAGCAGATATAAAAATGACATAATTATGTACATAGTTGATAATTGTACAACTATTCATTCGATGGTAGGATCCATCCTGTTTCAATATTGCATGTACCTCTGTCTCTTTCAATTTTTACAGTCACCGCAGTTTTTTGATCTGGTTCAATATGTAGGCGTTTAATTTGTGATACTTATATCCCAGTCATAACATTTCAAGCCAAATGAAGAACACTTCCATAAAAGACATACAATCTACATACATTATTTATTTTTAAGGAGATTGATTGTACTTACTCATTCCACTCAATATAATATCAAAATGGTTTTATTTCATTACCAGTAGCCTATGTTTTTTTAAAGTATCATCAATTACTCTAGTACACCACTATATTATTACTAGTGAATATACGTTTTTAGGGATAAGTAAGTAACTACATCTAGTTCATTTCAGGACACTGGTTACAGTCACGTTTCAAATTGATAGTTAGGAGCATAACTCATAGTGCTCCTTTGTTCATAATTATTAAATAAATTTGATCGATATGTAACAAAAATGCATTTTTATTAGTATGTGTACAAAAATAAAAGTTAAGCTTTCTGACTGAGAGGTAGACCTTCGGGTAATGTCTCTTCAGAAGGTGGTCTTTCCTTCATAAACACAAAACGGTAGAATAAAGCTCCAACGAATGCTGCTGACAAAGGCCCAAGCCAATAGACCTGCGAACGAAGATCCGTAAATCAATATTCCGATAAAATACTGTCAACTATACTGGCTTATCACTTTCCACGCATTCGCATTCGTCAAGTTTCAAATTTTTAAAGAAGAAACGCTGGATATCCAAATGCTCTCAAACTTACTTTTTTTGAATGGGTGAAGTTCATAAGCTGATAATTGGGATGATGAAATGGATGTATAAGTATTATTCTATCGTGAAAGTGATAACTCAAAATTTCTAAATAACGGCTGGATTATCTTTAATTGGAGTGGGCTGTTATGTGATACCCAATTTTGGAGCTCTTTGTGAGAACTCTACCTTCTAAAATGGCGGGCTGGTATGCTCGCAAAGTTGAGCGATTTAGTCTGTGTCTCTTGTAACAGTAGGTAACATCAAGACACGCCCATCTCTGCATTTTCTAAGTAACGATTCGGCAGCGTCATTAGTCAATCAGCTAACATGTATAAGTAGTCGAACCTTCGGAAAACCCAAAAAAAAAAAAATTATAACCTCCGAACTGAATGAGAATGGGTGTAGCGCTGCACATAAAAATACACAAAAAGTGTGATAGGAGAACGTTAATGTCTGTTCGATTATATTGGCATGAATATGATAAAATAGATGTAATAAAATTAATTATTCAACTGTAACAGAGATTCAAAACATCAAGTAAATTGCAGCTACCACGTATTGGTAAGTGTTTGATAGAATAACTCATCAAATAATAACTATAACATTTCTTGATCTGATTTTATAGATTCTAAATTTGTCCCTTAAATGCGTCACCCCTGAATGAATGATCATCTTTCTGATAACTTAGTCCGAGTGGATTGTCCGGGAAGAGCAGATACTTAGTTCTGTGCTTGGGTTTCGAGAGGTAGACCTCATGGGTTTTTAGTTTTTTAGCGCTTAAATTCTCAATTCCATTTCTGGTCATGATCCCACCAAATGTTAATACAGTGGCTATTTAGATTTTGGGTTATTATGATGAAGTTCGTATCTTTTAAAATCTCGTTAATGCTTTTGATAATGAATCTATCTCTCTAACTCTCTTGATCTCATACAACTTATTTAATTTGTATCTCTAGTTTTCCTTCCATACTCGATGAGCTTATTCTTTGAATTGAAGTTTGGATTTTAATTAACTATCATAACCAGTATCAGTTCAATCTCATCTTTGATAGTTACTCTTTTGCCCAACAAACTAGCTCAATTAACCAATCCAGTGTTTTATTTTGTTAAGCAACCTTTTCTTTTGACTCTAAGAGCGTTGATCAATGGTATAACTCTCGATAATCAATTGTTTCATTTCGTAGCCACGTAGTTCAACTCCACTTAGCCGCAACCAAGTCTCAGGCTTTTGCTCCAGTCTGACGCGCTTGAGCATTTTTTCACTACCTTTAAAGCAACCAGAAACTTGAAAGGTGGCAAAAATGAATTTTGACTTCATCAACAATTTTGACTATGTTTAAAGATCATTGAAAGGGATGGAAGGCTATAGAACATACAAGTAAATTTGAAAACATGAAATTTCCTTCTACATACTAAGACCTCACTCCATGCTGCCGCTCAAATTGCATCTGAATCATTGCAGCCATTTTAGAGATGGCGAGGATAAAATGTTAATGGACGGGCGGAACTGAGTGACGTGGAGTTTTTGTCATTTAGTCAACATGAAACACCAAAAAACTTATTATCTGATACACAACAACGACGAACCGATTTACAAGACTTGCAGTATTCACCATTCCATCCGCCGCCTTTTGTTCCTGCCAATCATTTCCAAAAATATCACAATATACATACCCAGTGATTCTCCCAGTCTCCATTAAACAAGGCAGGAGCAAAGCTGCGGACAGGATTCATATTAGCTCCAGTGTAAGGACCCTGCAATATAATACATGTTCGTGAAAGAGCTTAAAAGTCGTTTTCATATCTATTTCCACGCATTATTTGGATGTAAACACAGAAAAAAAAAATTGAAGCTTATAAAAGGCATTTAAACATTAATTTAGTGCAGCACTATTCAGAATCATGTCCGTAGAGATTTTTTTTGTGGAACAGTGTTTCCTATTGTGTTTTAAAAATCAATGACATCAATTTCGACCAATGCTGTGCTATCAGGTTTTGCTTCAGCCTTGGCCACAGTGCAACGGATATTCTTGCTAAACTTCAGCAGGCCCTACGGTGATATTTTTTTGTCAGGGCCCAGGTTTTTCGGTGTTTTTTTTCAGAGAAAGAGTCGATTGAAGATGAACCACGAAGCGGAAGGTCTTCGTCTTTAGGAACCGATAAAAATGTCGACAGAATCCGGGATCTTCTGCGTTCAGATCGTCGGTTGACCATCATTTATCAGTTCAAGTACAACTGGGTGTTGCATCACAATAATGCTCCTCGTCACACAGCAATGTCAATAAACGAGCTATTGGCCAGTAAAAACTTTCCTATGACTCCTAAGCCACCTTATTTGCCTGACTTGAGTCCTTGTGACTTTTTTCCATTTCCGAAGTTAAAAAATCACCTCAAGGGAACTCATTTTGGGACAGTCGCAAGCAATCAAACGGCTGTAATCGACCAGCTGAAGGATATTCCAGTATCGGAGTTCCAGCACTGCTTGAGGAGTGGAAGAACCGTCTCCAGCGCTGCGTGGCTCCAGAAGAAACTTATTTTGAAGGTGATAATATAAAGTTGTAATTTTATTTGAATAAAGAATAAGATAAATCAGTCTCAGCGCTTTATTCACAGACCATGTCTCGTAAAATAGTGTAACATTATTTATTTCATCACAAGAACTAAAACTCTGAGTCTCCGTGTTTCGCTGAGCGTCAAATGAAACGAAAGACTGTTCGTAGGAGACAGATAAATAAAGTATTGTAATTCGGAAAAGGCCACCGAGGTGGTAGAAAAACCAGTATATCTTTTGACTTTGCAGCTGTAGTTATACTCGTATTTGCCAGCCCGTGAACTAGACATCAGCTGAAATTAATTTAAAATCGTTGTTAGACTAAGTTCACCACAATGATTGTTTTACTTACCCCTGCCATAGCTAGAACTGCAATGGTTAACCCGAATCTAATGGAGACTGAGTCATGTTTGTCACTATTTTTGGGATCCCATACGCCACAGCAGACCAAAGTGAGTATTAACGTAATGAGAAACTCTACCATGAATCCCTGAGCAGGAGTTATGAGAGGATTTACAGCTGGCGAGCATATTCCTAGCGATTTTGTCACTGTGCCATCTGTTGCATTCTTGTATACGTTGCCTAGAAGTTGAGCTGGAGTGACAACCTGAAAGAATCAAGATTTTTAACATGGTTATGATTTTTTGATTGGTTTTCAGAGGAATGCATGATGTGCATTTTGAAAAACACTGATAAGGAATGGAATGAGGTGAATAATAGTGGAAACGTTCTTTAAACACTCAACCATTGAAGTATTGTGACTGTCACCATCGCGGGAAGAGATAATAGATATAAACGAGCAAAAACACCTACCAGCAAGCAAAACCTTCCGATCCACGTTCAAAGTTGACCTTGACAAAATGCACATGCTTTTAAATAACCCCGTACGAGAAACTAAGAAGTTATGATAGCTTACCTTCAATAAACCAAAACCTAATAATGCCCCGAGTAGTTGACCAACGAAGTATATGGGCACTTGTATTAAAGGAATGTTCCCAAGTGTAGCTGCTGCAACTGTTACGATTGGGTTAATATGAGATCCAGAGATATGTCCAAAAACCTGTAAAAAAATATTATTTTTACATGATTTCTATATTTCAAATGTGGTATTCAAATAGTTATAATACTCTTGACAATACAAAATGTAAATGTCATACTAATATCTGTACGAAATGGTAGGAGCTGATATGCTTCTTTAATATCTTCTTTGTGATTTCAGTGTGATTTTAAATATTTTAAGAAAGTCCATTTGGAACGTATAACGAGGAACTTTCATGTTTTTTAAACTTTTAAATGGAGTGAAGCACAGCACAATTTTTTTGGGTATATTGAAAAATAACAAAGTTATGCTACTGAGGAGGTTCTTATTTGCAGAGCTATCTTGTTGGAGTTGTTGGATGACGTCATATGACACCAGCGACCATCGCTACCACAAAGCGATGCGCCCGACGTTGCTCTGCACTGTATTTACAATTCATGGTAAAAACTGGAAAAAATCGGCTTACAAATACTGTTTTAAACCTGGGTGTACAAATACAGGCATATAAGCTCCAGACAAACATGTCTACCTGTGCCAAAACATAGAAGGATTAAAAGGAAGTGGTAATGAACAGGGAGGGGACGATTGAAATTGACTCTATCAGAAATATCATTGTACTGTTGTAAATACGTAATTGATATTTTTCCGTACGTAGTGAATTCATAAAGAGAAAAAGCTCAGAGTTCGCTCTATTTCGAACAGCAGCTTGTTTATTAAACACCCGACATCCACAGTTAGGAAATAAGTCAATTTTGACTGCGGCTGACTGGAAATTTTGATTTGCGACATTGTACGACAATAACACACAAATTATATGTTCAAAACATATAAAAGTGTAATTTGAGCGCAATCGGTAAATTTTTTCAAACATAGGCGTCAACTTAGATTTTTAAGAATCGATATTTACTTCGTTATCAGCGATCTTGAAAACACTGACTTAATTTTGAGTGCGATCAAAACATGTTTTTGCACTCGTAATATTATAACCGCTATTTCGATTTTTGGACAATCGACAAGTTCTTTACTGAAAACATTTAAAACTTAAATTTGAGCTCAATCAAACCATTTTTTTTGCAAAGATGTACACCGTATTAAATCCTCCATTTAGTTTTTGACAAATGTATATCATATTCGCTATCAGCGATTTGGAAAACGTAAATTGATTCTTTTGTACAATTTAGTGAATCATTTTAATTTTTAGGACTTTTGAACTACTGTGGCATCGTCCGCGTGTGAGCTTGATTATGAATGTTAATGCGTGCCAAAGCATAAATGTTGTAAAAGCATTGTACTTTTAACTATTAACCATCATTATGCCCATCTTTGGAAGATTAGTGGAATCGGTACACAGATAACCTTCTTCCATTTTATTTATTGTATATCTATAATATCGCACAGCAGTCTATGCCAGGACACAAAGAATATATTGCGACTGGTCAGCTTGAACGCCAAGGATGAATGTGTAAGGGCCTCAGCGTCATCCAGCCGCGAGAGTGGCGTGGCACCAAACTTATGTCATGTGACGTCACTTCAAAACCACGACGCGCAAGTCGGTTGGCTACAGCACCCAACACAGAAAATGTCTCGGAATAATTCATTCAGATTTGTAAAAGATTCTAGTTATACTATTATATGCCATTGAAACTAGCAGTGTAGGAATCTTCCTAATTAAGCACGTTGTAGGGTTTAGATCATTCGTTGATAAACTACTGGTTATTCTTTTTGGAAAACACTGAACGTATAGCCTGGTTTCCAGCGGTTTTGTTCACATGTACTGGAACGACTACTATAGTAGTGGTGGGGAGGCGAAGCGTGGAAACTTGACCGCCTTTTTTGATCGCTGTATCAACACTGTACATGCCATCTATCCAGCCCCCTACTGGAAGCAAAATGCTCTTTTTCTAAAACTTACGTGATGAAGTATTTGTATGTACATTTTCCAATTTTCAGGTTCTCCCTTTATGTTTAATAATAGAACTATGAGAGTGTATTTCACTGTATATTATTTTAAGTAAAAAGCAAATAAAATTACGAATTGTCAGCTCGCCTATAGCTTTCGAACAGATGAGCTAAGTATTCCATGTACCAGAAGGTTGTTAAATTAGCGATATGAGTTGATAAATCTCATTTTTATGCAAAAGTTATTACCTGTACTGCTACCATGACCGCTAAACCGAAGGTCCAGGATATTTGTTCATGTGGAATCTTCCCTAGGGGCCCGTAAATCCCCGATACACACCCCATGCAGCCTAAGAAGACCAGCGTCGCTGTGCCTCCCACTTCTGATGCGCATAACACGATTCTTTCTTTTGTTGACAAGCTGTCTGTTACTTGAACTAATTTCTTCCCTAGAAAAAAAGATACTGAATTTCAATTACTGAATTTCACGAAGCTCAACATTCAGATAGACTAAAGAGTAACTACCTGAAGTGAATTTGTGGTCCAAGGTCAAGTCAATTGTAATAGACCCAACACCAAAGACTTCATATACAGGGATATATCAAGCAGAAGGACACAATAAATTCTGTTTTGTGAATATTTGCAGGATTAACAGAATATCGATGGCACAACGATGCTGCTGATTACTATATGAATGTATTAAGATTTTTTAAAGCAATGTTTATACCTTGATATTCAAGCCAGTCAAGTGTGCTACCTAATGAGCTTTCAATGACCAATGGATTTCGGTAATCAAATAATTTTATTTTTTAAATGTTAATTTACTTAGTATATCTGGAAACAATAACGCTGTCGAATAGAATATTATCTTTCAGGTGAAGTTAGCGAAGTTTTTCGAAAACAAAATTTATTTTTAAAATTAACATTAACAAGTTATGTTATGTTAACCAAATGATTTTGTTTTTTGAATGTTAATTTTTGTAGTATATCTGGAAGCAGTAGTGCTGATAATTAGATAATAAAGAGAGACATGGACTTTGCAAATGAGGTCTCACCTGGCCTAAATATTGATTGAACTGTTACGCCAGAGGGGGTTACTAGAATGAACAAATAACAAATTCATAATGTAACGTCCGAACGTGTGCTATGGTTGTCTTGTTGACTAATCTCCGCTGGATGAAACCACATAGATTAAAAAATTCAAGTTCCATATTGGATCCATCATTTTTTTAAAAAATGTCTCTCATTCCCTTTGAATGGATATTTGTAATTTCACATAAATTGTTATTATTTACATCAACTTTTTGTTTGAATACCAGGGAAATGGCCTCCTACTACTGCTCAAGTACGCGATGTTTGACGTTTATGTCTTTCAGATTTCGATATCTGTTAAATGATATTAGTTGTCTTTTCTGATTTCGTACAGGAATGTAACTAAGCCTGCATGTACTGTTGATATTTCCATTGTATTCAAATCGATCTATTAACAAAAAGCCTATCGACAATGTTTACAGACAAAAAATGAGTGTTTTCCTTTTATCAAGTTGGCGTCAGTCGACCAAGTTTTTGAGTGAATTAGAAATAAACACACCATTACGCAACTAAAGATAGTTGGCACTTGCTTCAGTTGTATGGGTTCACGACCTTAGATAGTTGTTTACGAAAAATAATTGTATCAGACAGAAATCAGTGTATTTTCTTGTACTGATACGGGTTGTCCTGGATCTAACGGCAGTCATTAATGTATTTCTCATGTTTTTGAATGAGCCCATACATAAAATAAAAATTACCTTACATATCAATTATTTTTTATGCTTTAATTCACCATCTTATGAGCTAGTTACAAACGAAGTTATTTTGCTGTTATCAGGGCTCGTCAGTAGGGAATATACTCTAAGATATACAGGGTGGCGGATCGAAAACGAAACAGACGCATTTACTGGCAGCTCAGTTTTTTTGGAACAACGCTCAGACCCGTCGATTTTGTTTTCGAGGGGGACGCAAGTTTGGCAAAAAATAACGTTAGCACGTGCAGCCCCCTAAGCGGGGGTGACACCACCCCTAAAATCTTAAATGGAAAGGGGGGTCGAGTGATACCTTATTTTAAAGGTCTTTCAATTCCCTTTATAATGATATAAAATTACTGTACTTCAGTTCAGTAGCTTTAAAGATTTATTGATTTAAAGCTTAAATAAAACTAATACATCATCATTAGTGGAGATTAATACATTTGGCAGCAAAGTAATTGAACTGACCCGATCGGCAAGTAAATGTTGAAAATGGCCACCATGACTCTCCATGCAATAATAAAGATTTTGCTCAAAACGTTGCCGCACATTTTGCAATAATTGAGGAGTAATTTGAAGGCACTCTTTCATAATTCATTGTCGCAGGTCTTCTAATGATGTTGGCTGAGTAGCACAGTTTTTGCATTTTAAATGACCCCACATAAAGAAATCCAAAGGTGATAAATCTGGCGATCTTGGGGGCCATTTAATGGCACCTCTTCTACCAATCCATCGATCTGGAAACGTCTGATCTAAATATTGTCGATCACGTAATGCGTAATGTGGTGGGGCACCATCCTGTTGGAACATCAGCCTATTCGCAATGTACCGCCGATCATTCTGATTTTCAATTATGGCTGTTAATGCAGGATCTATGGCGTCTTCCAGTAATTCCAAATATATTTCACCGGTCAAATTTCCAGGTAAGAAAAAAGGACCAACTAAATGATCGCCAAATATACCAGCCCAAACATTTAATTTTTGTGGCTGCTGTGTATGAACCTCATGATAAATTCTGGGATTAGAATCGGACAAATATCGGCAGTTATGACGATTTACTACGCCATTTAAGAAAAAGGAACATTCGTCGGAAAAGCAAGTGTTGAATAGAAAATATTCATCGTTTATAATTCGTTCACTCATATCTTCACAAAATTGTAATCGCCGATCAAAATCGTCTTCATTAAATTCTTGTACCAGGTGAATTCTATACGGATGAAAACTATGGGCCCTTAGATTCCGTTGGACAGTACGTCAACTAACACCACGCACAGTCTCCAATTTGCGGTTACTTAACGTAGGATCTCCATAAATTTGCCTTAAAACCCCCACTTCTATTGTTTCGTTCCTTATGGGATTTTCAATGTTGCCTTTTTTATTTGCGACTGACCCAGTTTAAATATTTCTGCTGTTCTATTAGCGCACCGATTATTTCCGAAAAATGTTTCGATAATTTCAACTCTTTCTGCTGTGGAATATACCATGGTTAATTTATGTAATAAAGCGTTACAAGTTATTTTAGCAACAAAGTTTGGTAAAATCAATCGCAAACTATGTACTAAATTCCTATTTAAAATAAGTATGAGATATTTCCTTATCTTTCTTCAAGAAATAACTTTTTTGCCACAAAAAAAACGCTCCAATAGCTATCTTCAACAACAAAATGATAAACAAACCATGAGCGTAGTGAAGAAAAGCATTAACTTATTAAGTAAATTCTTGTAGTCAAATTTCTTCTGAAAGTAGTACAAACTAATCTGATGTACCTATTAAAGTCTACTTTAAGCTTTAAATCCATAAATCTTCAAAAGTACCGAACTGAAGCTCGTGTATTTTACATCGTTATAAAGGGAATTGAAAGACCTTTAAAATAAGGTATCACTCGATACCCCTTTCCATTTAAGATTTTAAGGTTGGTGTCACCCCCGCCCAGGGGGGTGCACGTGTTAACATGATTTTTTTGCAAACTTGTGTCCCCCTCGAAAACAAAATCGACGGGTCTGAGCGTTTTCACAAAAAAAATACTGAGCTGCCAGTAAATGCGTCTGTTTCGTTTTCGATGCGCCACCCTGTATAGTAAAATCGTTGGTGGAAATTGTAAGTGGACAAAATTTTTTATATTTGCGAAAAATAGGATAAAAAATTTTTATTATTTTTTTCGTAAGGTTATTTTATTGCTAGGGGAATAAACTTTGGCTCCTTTTATCCCTAAAACACTCACAGATAAAATCTTCTAGTACCACAATCGAAAACAGAAATTTCAAGTCATTGCAATAAAACCGCTAAAAATCAGACAATTTACTTTTTACCTTGATCACTTCTATCTGCACGCCACTGACCAAGTGACGAATGTGTGTCCTGGTACGTTATAAAAACACAATGAATTTCAATTCAAAATATCTTAGATTTTTGTTTCTATTGCAGTTTATTTGAAAATAATTGTTTTTTATAAAAATCCATCCTGCAGCTGAGGGGCGTCTACGATTGTCGGCTGGTGCTTATTTTGCAGAGAAGGTATTGTAGTTGTATGATAGTAAAGCCGAATTCCATAACTGTGATTTAAAAAAATGAATTTCCAAATTTGAATTGCAAAATATTTACAATTCATTGAAAACGAATGCGTTTTTGATCAACCTACAATTGTTGTTATTAAATAAAGCCATTAGTCAGAATACTATGGAAAAAATTAGCTGCTCTGGCAATTAAAACAAAAATATAAGATTTCTTGAGTTGGAATTTATTGTGCTTCCAAAATGTGTTAGCACATATTTATCACAGGGTGGGTTAGAGGTCAGTTCCGTGAGAATAGAAGTGATCAAAGTACATAGTAAATCGTCTGGCTTTTAGCGGTTTTATCAAAAAACTTGAAAACTTCATCTGTGAGTGTTTTGAAAATAGGGGCCAAGGTTCATAATTTTTAACCCTATTTCTTACAAATACATTGAAGCGGAACCTTTTTTCCTGGCACGACCCACATTCTCGTACAGTAACTTTTTTCCCACGTTTTTGCCCAACAATTTATCCACTTTTATCCGGAACTTAAATCGATTTTTGCTAGATTGTCTGGATTAATAGGTCCAGAGTGGAGAACAGAAGTAGACATGAGATATAAGAAATTTTGTTTTACTGTCAAATGTTAGAATCGATTTTAAATTCGTTATCAGCGATCTTGAAAACACTTACTTAATTTTGAGTGCGATCAAAACATTTTTTTGCAATCATAGCCGTAATATTATAACCGTTATTTCGATTTTTGGACAATCGATATCAAATTCTTTACTGAAAACATTTAAAACTCAAGTTTGAGCTCAATCAAAACATTTTTTTTGCAAAGATGTACACCGTATTAAATCCTCCATTTAGTTTTTGACAAATGTATATCATATACGCTATCAGCGATTTGGAAAACGTAGAAATTGATTCTTTTGTACAATTTAGTGAATCATTCTAATTTTTAGGACTTTTGAACTACTGTGTCATCGTTCGCGTGTGATCTTGATTATGAATGTTAATGCGTGCCAAAGTATAAATGTTTCGCATTGTACTTTTAACTATTAACCATCATTATTCCCATCTTTGGAAGATTAGTGGAATCGGTACGCAGATAACCTTCTTCCATTTTATTTATTGTATATCTATAATATCGCACAGCAGTCTAAGCCAAGATACAAACAATA